GTTCGCCAAATCACATCTTTTGTAGCACCATCAACGTTTGCTAATTTTGTATTTTTTTGTTTTCGTTTCATTGTCGAACGAGATAGTTTTGTTAGCTCGCATATTCTATTAACAATAGCATTCTGTGAAGTGTGACAGTTTTCCTTCTTCAAGCATTCATGAATATTAAAAATGACTCGCTGAACTTGAACATGTAAGTCCTTATTTTCAAATTCCGGATCCCTATCGATTGACACAGATTCCTCGCACGTAATGTTCATTTGTTGTTTATATACCTAAAGTTTTCTGGTCCTTTGTACCTGGTGTACTTTGTTTGTTAAATGACGATAATCCTAATTGATTTTTCGGTAATTAACTAGTGGAACCACCACCTGCAAATCAATTTGTCCGCTTTTTAATCTATTGTTGACAAATTAAGAAAAAAAGAACAGTATCCAAGTCCACCAATATAATAACAAGCTACGCGATTTGTATCTCTATGAATGCTCAATAAATATACCTGCTCATAAGTATCCCACTAGAACAAATTAATATATGTATCCCTTTCATAGACTAACAGCGACTGAAAAAAGCGGCCACTATTTGTCAATCAAGCGTTTCAAACATCTTCCTAACAGAATAAAACGGACTAAGAAAATTGGAGTTTTCAAAAGAGAACTAAAAAAACTACTCATAGACTTAGAGCCCTATGACTTGAACGCATATCTCACTGGAACATTCATTTAAAATATTTATGACAAAAAAATCTGAACCTCCTTTTTTCATGCCATTTCATTCTATGTTACCGACCTTTTGCAATAAAAGTTTGTAATCTACTCTGAACTAAAGCTGTTTATTATTGTTCATGAAACCCAAAAATATGACTTACTTTTTGTAACACTCTGTATATTCAATTTGAACTTCTACAAAAATAGTTGTATCTGCTTATATCTCGTATAGATCCAAATTTCCATATAGTTCGTTATTCAAAACTCTGTAATGATTGACATGTTCAACTTTATCGGTCACGATAATGAAATCTAATTCCTTCAACGTTTGCAATGCCGATATTTTCGTCAAAAGCCGCACCAAACTCACATTACTGCCCTCCATTCTATCCGGAAATCCTCTTAACCCCTAGCCTTTGTCCAAAACCTCAATAGTTCGTTATTAATCTGAAATCGATAGAATTAAAAACAATATTTGGCGAGCTCTATCCAAACAGGATTCGGGTTTGGCACGGATAACTTTGGCCAAAACAATTTATCGAAGGGAAAGGTATTCAGATGAGGGTTATTAGGACGAGTTACGGAATATAAACGTTTATTTCTTTTTGTCCAGTCATTTTAGGTCGATTTAGGCCTAAAATGACGGAAAGTTGACACGCCCAGTTGTAAATTTGTATAAACTTAGTATTTTGGCATTATAAAGGTATTTTCAAAATTCACATATGGTTCGACGGCCGCAACTTCAAAAATTGGGGGGTCAAAAGTCAAAAAAACCGACTTTTTCCACGTTTTTTGCCAATATCTCGTTTCCAATGGGTGTTATGCTAATTGTATTCAATATCAATATTGTAGAGAATTAAATTCTCTACAACTTTTGTTTAAAACACTTTTTCATTTTGAAATGAAATGAAATATTCATCGAGCTCCTGTATAATCCAATTCATACCCAATGATCTGCTTGATTGCAACGCATGTATGTAACGAACTGACTAACGAGTGAAACAATCTAGAATCTTCGGTAATATGAAACCTCGTGCAATCACATACTTGTCATCGAATACAAAAGAAGAGGGAGCCCAGAGAGCTAATGACAAAGCAGCTTCGCTGACATTCAGGATATTAAAAAACGAGTCTCGTCATTTTCTCTACGTCCCCAGGAGGGGACATTGGCCCATATTCCACTCGTCAATCATGATGAAGAGTACATCCAGGATATTAAAAAACGAGTCTCGTCATTTTCTCTACGTCCCCAGGAGGGGACATTGGCCCATATTCCACTCGTCAATCATGATGAAGAGACTTCCTGGTCGGGGAATATTTTACAGAGAGGGATTGAATAGCTCCGTCACGCTGGAACCCGCTTTGAAAAAAATCTACCTTTTTTTAGCCTAATTCACCTACAAACAATACTGATAAATGTAGTATTGTTAATTTTTTTTGTAGTCTTATCGGTTACTGAAAAATCACTATTGATATTATTCAAACTACGAAATACAAGTAACAATGCGCTAAAATGTTTTGGAATAGGTTCTAAATTGATTGTAGTTTATTGTAGTAACAACAAAATATCAATTTATTTTATATTCTTTTGAAGTGTAGCAAAAAACTACGATAACTTCAAATCATAAAATCTATTCGCGGGTAGATGGCGCTTTACGTAACCTCCTTGATATATTGACTTTATTGCTTGATCTATTCGCGGGCAGATGGCTCTGTACGTTGGGCTTGGTAGCTGATTTGCAGGCTCCCTCTCCGAAATCGGAAAATATCAATAGTCATTTTTCTAAACAATATACGGCTGATTGATCCCAAAGTTTAGATAAAATAAATATAGTTCAAAAAAGACTAAAAAACACGCTTTTATAGCATACGAAACTAAAAAATGAAAAATGAATATAGTTTCAAAAGCTAAAAAAACACGCTTTTCAGTTCGATGTTCTTTAAAAACGTGTTTTTTAGCTTTTTGAACTATAGGTATTTATTTGAGCTGATGAAAAAGCGTATTTTCTTGATCAATAAAAACTCTGTATTCATTTAACTCTGTTTTCGCATTGCAAAAATTAAAGAATGAACAATTATTTTGATTTCTTCTTCTGTTCTGGGATATGCTTTGTATATTATTTTAGTACTTCAAATATCTACTTAAATCACAATTGATATTTACACTATACAATTTGAATTATTATATTTTTCAAGTGAATCTAAATTTTTTAGTATTTAGCCTAGAGTTGNGAGCGAAGTGTTATAAATAACAGTTTGGTGTTGGGATAGAGATGCAAACTTGGTTAGCGTGTGTCAAGGGATAGTGTTATAGTATTCATGAGACCAAAAAGTAAGTCCCCCTTTCCCCCCTGTGCACGCCAGTGTCGAACAAACTGAAAACGCCGTTCAGTAAGGGATAAAAACATCTTCCAGTACAACATACTAATATCGAAGAGCAAGCAATCTAAGCAGGCCGGGTCGGACACATTTGTTTTCGTTATATGCTTGCATAGCTATCCAATACCTTCCAATGTATATTGGAGAGATCGATACGTTTACTCGGGAATCGTGTCGAACATGTGTCATTTGTTTGTGTGTTGAAATGGCCGGGAAGTGAGTCTTTCTTGAGCACGAGGGATGTCTTTATGACTTTTTTTGAGGTTTATTGTTAGGTGATGAAAATCTGACGGTATTTGAAGAAAGAGATCGGTAAATATTTGTTTTGAGGGCACCCGGCGATTTTGAAAAAATTTTTGAGTGTACTTACGTATTTTGATGCATAGATTACGAATCCGAAAGAAAAAAGCGGCTCTCTCCCTTGTTTAAAAAGTTACGGCCCTTCAAAGTTCAGAAAAGGGCAACTTTTAAGCCTTCTTTTTCACAAGATAAACTATTTAAAAACACAAGCATTTATTCACTAGGTCACCTTTACACCTTATTCCTCCTTCCTTGACACTTTTCACTTCAATAATCAACATTTTTCCAGTAAAAATGTTAAAAAATGTATGGAAATGCTTTTTAGTTATATATCTCTGAGTTTTACGTTTTTGAGGTTAAGGGCATAGTTGGTACGACTGATGCTGCATTCGATTTTAAATTAAGTTTTTTATAAGAAAAATGTTGATTCGTGAAATGAAAAGTGTCATTGAAGTAGGAATAAGGTGTAAAGGTGACCTAGTAAATAGATGCTTGTGTTTTCAAATAGTTCATATTGTGAAAAAGGAGGCTGAAAAGTTGCCCTGTTCTGAACTTTGAAGGACTGTAACTTGGTAAATGAAGCAGAGCGCCGCGTTTTTCTTCCGGATTCGTAATTTACCTACGCATCAAAATACGTAAGTACACTCAAAATTTTTTTCAAAATCGCCGGGTGCCCTCAAAGCGAATATTCACCGAAATAACTGATGTAGGATGTCTTGACTCCTCCTGGAACTCCACATTGAGATAGTCTTAAGGAAAGTGATTTCATTTCTATTGAAAATAGTGTCTGTTAGTCATCTCCTGATGATGCTGAGTTGGTTAGCGAAACACGCGTCGAGAGGCAGTATTTTTGTCCTGGTGTGGGAAAAGTAGGTATTCTCACTCGATAGGTCCGGAAAATATGTCACCACAGGAAAATTACAAAAAATGCCAAGAAACCAATACAGTTTCAACTTTCATGTAACTTATCTTTCTCTATAAAGTTGGATAAAACTCATGAGAATGTCAATGGAGAAAGTTGATTTTTAACTTCATTAAAACGATTTGAAGATTTTACAGCGACATCTTTTATTCAATAGGCAAACTAGAACTCGATCATTCAGTGAGCGGCCAAGATGTGGACTTTGACAGGNTTGCTTCAATTTGAATTCGTTGAGAAGAATTGGCATGAACGATGTTATAGTTATGAGCTGAAAAGAGGCAAAAAATTGTGAACAGCATCAGTGTAGAAAGTACAACATTCTCTATCGATCAGTATTGAGTTTCAAATATCAAAATATCAGCAAAAATGTTTCACACATCCCAGAGAAGATTTCTGTTTTTTAAAAGTTTTCAATTTTTAAGCTGTAATCTATGTCATGTTTTCATTCTCACATTATAATACTCCTTGTGTAGTTTATGAAAGTATAGTTTCAGTTGTTGTTCACCACAATGAAGAAGTAATTACATCGATACTCCCCACTTCATTGCTGTGAAAAAACTGGACATGAAATTCCCATCGTCCCTCTTAGAATAAAAGTATCCCCGCCAATGCCTCGCGTAGGGAATCTGGGACAGAACAAAATTAACCTGGCAATGCTCCCTCTCCCTGTACAGGTATGAATTCAAATTAGGTGGATAATAAAATATGATTTATTCATCTAACTCTACAATTATCTCTAGATCACTTGTCAAGGACATTTGTTCAACAGCTCGTATTTTATGTTGAATCCTTGTTTTTTGTCTTCTTCTGTGGTGAAGTTTGTCATTTTGGCGATGAAGTGAACGTAGAGGGGGCCGGGGGCATATGCTAAAAAATAAAATAATAATCATAATAGCAGTAATAACAATGATGAACAATCTTCCTTATTAGTCAGTGGGCTATGCTTCAAGGCAGGCAGAAACAAATCTAAAGAAATGAACCTTAAACGTTCAAGCCAGTCTCTGATATACCTACACAGTAGGTTGAATGGACTGACGCCTATCAGAAAACAACTACTCCCCTGGCTAATACCACGAAGGGCGTTGGATTATATCCGACAGGCGTCAGTGCAGGAATCTTCACAGAAAAATTCCTGCATATGCAATTGGCAATACAACTGAAAGAGTTGACCTTTAATTTTGGAACGGGCACACTTGAAGACAGGTTTCGGGCAGCTTAGCCACTCATCAGTGCAAGATAGTGGCCATCATTGACCTAAAGTCAATGATATTCCGTAATTGAACTATTCCGCAAAGGGCAGTAAAAACCTTCTCAATAGCTTACTGAATACATGAATAGAGGTCTGAAAAGTTTCCGTTCCAAAAAAGATACAAAACGCTTTTTCAGATTTTCAGACATAGCCTCCTTTCAACTCTACAGCGTTCTCCCAGCTATGCCTCCATTTTTGTAACCCGTCCAAATAGTACTCGTCGTTTTTTTCTGCAAAATTATTGTTCACGAGGTGATTGCCTCTTCATTCGAAGAAAATATCAGTCGTTCAAGCGCAATTTTTAGACGAGGGAACGAAAAGAAGCCACTCGGCGATAGATCTGGTGGGTGAGGTGGATTGTCAAGCAGTTCAAAACGTAATTCGTGGATTTTCGCCATGGCAACCGCTGAAAATGTTGCATTTCTACTTCTTCATGTTCCGAAGGAAACAAGAAGCAATTCTAGTCGAAATTAACATGAAAGTTTTGCCTTAAAGAGACCTATGGCAGAACTGAGCCACAACATTCATCGCCAAAAGAGAATTTTCTTCCCAGCTTCCACTGCAAGGCATCCCTAATGGTGTTAGATTGAGCCACTGATGAAACACATGGCTGGTCGAAACAGTACTATGTAATATTGAATCATGAATGCTTTGTTTTTGGACTTCGGTGTCATCTGTTTTCGTCATGATGAGCAGCAAAGCTAGTATGAATACCGGTCCAGTTTGTAAAATATCAGATGCCCAGGAAAAAGTCGTTCAAAGTAAAATTTTGGTCACCCTGATTCCTCAATATTTCCCTTATTATGTTAATACTTACATCTGAAAACTTCCGGTTCATTCAGACAAACTTTAGCAACCAAGCTGTTGGATGTTGACAGGGGATTGTCAAAGTACAACTCTGGTACGTAAAGGTAGTGTTTACAGTTTCTGTCCGAGTAAAATCCAGTAGGATTTTCGTAGGGCAAAGAAAAATATTCTGGAGTGAACCTGCAAAAGAAAACCATCAGCAATCATCTCAATTAATGAAATAGCAGGACCAGACATAGCTCAAGTTTGGAACCTCAGAAAAAATGTTATCTCGACTTCTAAATTTGTATTCACTCCCAAACTTTCCGATTTACTTGGCTAATACTAGATAATAATGCTTGATGAAGGTTTTGAAAAGTACTTTGTTCAAGTTTTCCTTATAATATTTTTTATTCAATACATTTGGAGTTATTGAGAGTATCTTTGTGGGGTTAAAATCTAGCCTACAAAATGTAACTTCTGAAATATATTTCCTATTGAGGTTGAAACAGCATATGAATAACAGAACAGGCGTTGAATTTATTCCTATCCATTGTAAAAATCACATAACATGTTTGACAGAACGTGTTATGTTATATATCCTTTATTTTTGGCAGTTTCAAACACGTCACTGACGTTAATCACGAAATCAGTGTAAAATATTGTTTTTGTGCTAACTGGCTCGAAGTTAGAATTCTATGTAACAAATAGGCTGAAACCGCACCTGTCCAATCCCGTGAAATCTTCGAATATTTCATTACATTCAAATAAATTAGATAATTATTCGTAGTATTGGAATTAGATTTTCTACCTCCGGAAAAAACTGAATTGCCACATTATGGGCTGGGATAGCCATAAAGATAACGTATACATTCTTTTCGAATGAAATTGGTAGGTAATTTCAAAAGCTATTATAGGTATCCGTCATTCTGTGTGAGTAACTGTTAGGTTTTGTAGAGGTATTCCACGGTTCGATGACGGTACATCCACAAAGGATGATTTGAATAAATTGTCTAGCCTCGGACAAAGTAACACATTCATTTTGAAGAAGTTGATTAAGATNACAGAATTTGACATATTCATTAAAGTTTCAGGGCATACCACTATATTTTTTCTTAGTCGAAAATCGGAATTTTTTATTAGCGATTTTTTTATTGAAAAAATCACTACGCCACTGGATTCAGAGTGCCTCTGAAGTTTTTTCAAATTGGGTTCCAAATGAAGAAACTTGGGATAAAAACTAATCTTTGTGACATGTTGGTCACGAAAAAACAAATATGAACAGGAAACATCGATTTTTTTCTAAATGAAAGCGTTATTTATAGAACATTACAAATTATGTTTTGGGATCAACATAATTTCGTTATTTGAGTTGTATTGAAGTTTAATCAACCATATACGTAGGTAATAAAAAATATGAAACACTGTAGAAAGTAGATTTTTTCAGTTTTCCTCAATTTTGATAGGAATAACGAAAAATAAACCATGAGCTGTATAGATAAATGCAAAATAGGCATTTTTCAATGTTTTAATGACCTCCGTCTAGTATTGGAATTGAAAAAATCGTTGAAACTCGTCTTGAAATTCTGTTATTTTTCAAAATTATGAATATTTGGAAAAAAATGTGAAAATCTTCCAAAGAATGGAATGAAGATTCCCAATTTTTTTTTTGTATGAAGATGAAGTAGAAAATAATCTCTTAAGCCGATGGCATAGGATTGCTCGTAAGTGTAACTGATTTGGTTGGTCACAGAACCATCGAATCCAAAGGACTTGAAGTAACCACTTTTTTCCGTGAAATACTGTATTGCACCCAAAGGAGCTGCAACGAAATATTAAATAACAACAAAAAAACTCTTCGTTTTTTATTTTCAGTACCTAAAAGTGGATAGTCTTCTGTAACGTCCTTGGAGTAGTCCGTTTTTATCAACTGCTTTCTGGTATCTTCTCCAGGACACTGCAACTGCGTTATTTTTATTTTCCATGAAGGTGCAAAGAGAGTTGGGTTATAATTTCTATCAGACAATGTTAACTCCAGCTGAACGCCTTTGGTAACCCCGTCCGATTGGTTGACATGGATGTAGACTGCAACAAAGATGGAATATGCATACAAAAAATTGGAGCCCTACAAGGTAACCTTGCAGTATATCCTTATGATAATCAGTTTCATTTTCAGTCTCACCGTGTTGTTTGTCGTTGTTTCCGCATAGATCGGGAATGTTGTAGAAATTGGGGAGGATTCTCATTCTGTCGTTGTTGCATTTGTACACTTTGTCAGTAGCGTATTGGGGTAAGACGAGGGTAGCGGGGGCTAGGTTGAATTTCACGAAGTCCAATCTGGAAATTTTTGGTTTTTGAATTTTTATTGTAGGTGTGGATTTGCAAGAACTAACCTTATCTGGCATATGTTGGGGTTTCGTAACTTTATAACGTAGTTGCAATTGGTTACTCCATTGGTCAGATCGCTTGCTTCGAAATACGCTACTTTCGCATCGGTAGTTTTTCCACAAGTGTTTTCATCTGGGTAAAAAAATACATCTCATGGTAACAGACATCATGACGACCCAACCAGCAAAGTTGTTTTATAATTCCATGGTGTTGCAACAGTTTCATTTTATTAGTATTTTATAATTACTTCGAAAATGCTAATTGATTGTATTAGATGATCGGTGAACACAATACAGTTGTAGGCAATAAAAGTGTTTTATAAATTTGTCATAGAAACGTTCATGAAATAAAACTGAAAAACCATTATGAAATAGTCAGGAAATTATCACATAAACGTTTTTGCAACTAACTTATGAAACTTATTTTCTTATAGAAGTAAATTGTTATGTAGCAGTTTTATAACACTTTTCTGCGAGATTTTTATGATAGTTNTATAATTAATAATTTTACCGAAAACATTTATAAATGAGCGGCGCGCTTAAATTTTGCTAATAATAGGCTATATATTTGTCAATTAAATTTCATTTGCAGTAAAAATATCAATCTTCGAAACACCAACAATGTCTTATGAGTGCAAAAGTGAAATTTTAAAATTGCTTCAACCTTTCTATTTCTTAGTTTTCAGTTGGTGACATATCAATTATATTTTCCTAGTGTCCAATACATGTACTAAAAAACTCTTATAAAACTGTCTTCTGATTATTTTATAGGTATTGCTTGAATATGTTGCAAAAGTGCAGTTAGGGAAGTCTTTACAAAACTACTTTTTAAGAGTGTTAGACAAATTTTATAGTTACTGCCAAAATATAAATATATAAAACTGTTTTGTAGTGTTTGTAAAAGGCCTTACAAAATATTGATAATAACTGTTATGTTTTATAGAACGGTGCCAATTTCCTATTTATAGCAGTTTTATGAACACATTGAAAACATTTCTGAGAGAAATGTAGTTTTATAATTTGTTTCTCCGACACGTTTCCGCAACTATTATAAAATACGAAATTGCTAGTTGGGGAGGCACAGAGTATTCAGTTTTTTTTAACAAACTATAATGAAAGCAAATGAGGATGAGTTAAAGGATGTTGAGAGAAAAAGAGGGAAAGAAAAAAGTCTATTGGGAAATGAACAGCAGCAGGAGGTTGCAAATGAGGATCTAGAGGTGATTTGGAATTGGGATGAAAATGTTATTGGTTCTAGAGCAATAATAGTTGTTATGGAAAATAAGAAAATCAGTATTGGTTGAGATTTGAATTCAATATGAAATATATGTACTTACATATACAGCAGGTCTGGAGTAAACCACAGAAACCATTGGAAGATCCCCCTGAGAGCATACAACTACTGTACGGTACACACGAACCATATTTGATGCCGCTTTTCGTCAAAACTCTACATTCTGAAAGTTTTTTCTCGAGTTCTGCAATAAAGAATCATTTCAACAAGAGTTTCGCTCTTATTTTTGCTTCAAACTTGTTTCTTAATAGAGAGTTTCAGCTTTATGAAGAACAAATTTCATGGAAGTTGTTCAGGAATACTTCTGAAATGGATTCTCAAGATTTCACAAATCATTTTGGATCTGTGGGTACGGTTCTCGAAAGAAAAATCTAGATTCAATATTCTGTTCATTTCAGAGGCACAAACTGAATACGATTCTTACCTACGTTTTGAATTAGGTGGAGTACTATTATCATTCTTTTCAGCTCAATACTCCAAGACGGCTGTTCGATGTTGATTTGCGAAATTTCGTTACACTAAAACGGTCAAATTTGAGTGGAACTCAATTTTTTCAAATGGAACACCCTGTATATTTCAACATTTTTGAGCTCCACGTCCAATTTTAGATTAACTTTGTTCAGATAATACTATTTCTATTTTGAACCGTTTTCGAGATAAACTGTTTCAAACGGAAACTGACGTGGTTTTCTTGCTCGTTTTTTTGAATTTATCACTTATTTTGGATATTCAACATTTT